GCTTCTAGTAACAAGTGCCTTACTAGTAGTAACAAGAAGCTACTAGTAACAAGTGCATCGCTACTAGTAACAGGTGCCTTACTAGTAGTAACAAGAAGCTAGTAGAAACAAGACTCACCCACCTCACTCCACCTCACGCCGTCCAAAAAAGCACACCCGACACCGTGGCAACGCGGCCCGCGGCGCGTCTCTTCGACCGTTTCACCAGCCGCACCTCTTTGTCCCGCTCGAGGTCGGTGTCGAGGGTGAGCTCCAGTGCCTCGAAGAGTTCTGGTAGCTGTTGCAGTGAAGAGACTCGATGCCTCGTCGCAGTCGCCAGTCGCGCGGAGGGCTCGTCGCGCGACGAGCGTGACGGGATCTGCGGACAGGCTTGAGGGACCAATGAACACCATGACTGTAGGTGGTCATGATATGATGAGTGCCGTTTTTACATGAAGTCAAGATCCCCTTACGTGAGGATCGCTGGGCGGTTGCATCATGTTGCATCTACCACCATGGCATGGTTTTTTCCCCTTTGACTTGGATTGGTCTAGAACCCTGGCGCCAGAAACACCCAGGAACCGGGGAAACGACCCCGAACCACCAAACACCCAAACCGCAAAAGCAGGTTTTGGCCGGAAAAGCAGGGCTCGGAGGTCGTAGTGTTCCTCGCTGGCTCTGTGGTCACGTGAGGCTTTCCACTCACAGCTCTCCAAACAAACAGTGATTTTAGTCTCAGCAGCCGCTGAAGGCAACCCAAGGGCGACGATATCACAATCTTACATTGTTGGAGGTCATCGCTCTTAGGTTGGAGCCCCTCGCTACCAAGGCCATTGCTATTGGGTTCCCTCATCTTGGTTCTCAACTCTTTCTTTCCAACTTGCAGCGCTTATCAGAATCATACATGCAAACCAGGCTCAGGTCATTCAGCACGAAACCAACACCATCACGTGGCTTCAAGCTTGGCAAGTGTCGCAAGCTTCTGTTCACTTGCCAAAGGCTCACCAAGCTATCTCAGATGTTCAATCCCCATCCCTTCATATTCGTCAACTAGCTGCAAACAGAACGAAAACGTTCTTCCTTCGCCTTGGTCTAAAGAGGCGAACCACGTGGTGCCGTTGACGACCGGCAAGGCGACCGACCCATTTTGGGTCGACGGAACCGCTTCAACGCCCTCTGGTGGTCGCAGAGTGGCATCTGGGCAGCGTTCTGCCAAATGCAAGGCTGCAAGGCGAAGGTGGCACCTCGAAGGCCAGATGAAGGTGGCAAACAAGTCGAACATGCCCAGGGAAGAACCGAACAACATACGAACAACAAATGCCATCGATGCAGAACGATATACAAAACGACACCCTTCTGCCTCCGCTCTTTTGAGTCTGACTACTCAGGTTCAAGAAGGGCGGTATGCTGAATGGGCCCTCATTCCTGTGTGAATGCAAAATCTAGAAGCAGTCTGAGGAGCTTTTGCATGTCCGAAATCTGCTCGGTCTCACATGTATCAGTTTGACTTCGCGACTTCGGCTTCTGCGACTTCGCGAGACTACCCGTGGAACTCATCAGCTATCCTTGACACGAAAAGTGGTCTGCCCCAGCTGTGTCTATAGAATGACCACTGTAGGGTGTTGAGGATTGCTCGTTTCTCAACTGACGGTTAGTGGCATCACAGAAAAATCCTGTTCTGACGTATCTCCATTTTGAAGCGTGCTGTCGAAGCTGTCATCTGGCATTCTTTTGGGCCACACCACTGCATGTAGTGTTTTGACCAGAAGAGGACGTTTTTTGCAAATGTTCGCACTCCAAGCAGCATTGTGGAAAGTTCTCAATGAAGTATTGAGCCGATAGAATCCATTTCCTCAGTGCAATGAGGTTACGATCACACACGTGATCCAAAAGGCAAGGCCCAAAGATGGAGGCCCATGTTCGGTGATGCTAAGATCGGCCACAACATGTGCAAAAACTCGGGACTGTGGGTAGAGCTCGTTTGACTTGCAGCAATTGATTCATCTTCAGCGAGCAAAGCTATGAGCGGATTGAATGGCCGGGCTTCTCGTAGACCACGGCGCACGAGAAGGGAGAGCAGAAATCGCCCACATAATGCATGCTGCAATCTCCTTCTTTCTTCGTTTGCCAAGCCGTACAGAGATGCTTTCAAGGACACCACAACTGAGGTCGTTACAGGTTTGTGTAAAAACACTATTTCTTTGAACTTAGTGAACAGCCGTCTCCGCGATCATTCAAAAAACACATGCAGGTGCGTGGGTGAGCTCACTCATCAATCATTGATCTACACCAACTTCAAAAGGACTTTGTGCCAACCAATGGTGAAACGAGGAACCACTTTCAACCACTCATTGTTTCCTTTGCACGTGTTCGACCATGGCGGCAATATTGAAGATCAACAACTGAAGACAACGAACGGAAAAGCGGAAAACATGAGGTTCCACGCGTCGATATCCTCTGCTTGAAACCATCTTCTCGAACTAACGCATGAACCTCCACATGGCTGGCCAAAGGATCCGCATCCTCTGTCATTGATTCTTCCACTAGTAACAAGTGCATCATTACTAGAAGCTATACTAGTAGCGATGCACTTGTTACTGACAGCTGCTACTAGTAATGCCCTGCCCTTAGCTACTAGTAGCATGATGCTCTTTTGCCCTTAGCTACTTCTCCCGTCCGGCTCACCGCGTCGCTCCTGCCATCTCCAAATCCACGTGGAGTTCCACCTCGGGTCGGACCGGGCTCGGCGGTCCCAGTCCTTCGGAGCGAGTCGCGTCCGATCGCTCCTAGTAAGGTCAGGAGCTTTCTAGTTGCTTTATTGTTACAAGTAAGAAAGAAACGGGCTTCAGGAAGTGTATAGACACCCACAGACACATTGACATGGCATTCCAAACAAAGAATCGCCGTCTTCTCAGAGCTCGCACCGACCAGCTCAGAGCTCGCTCTCCTCCGAGGCACCAAACGTGCGTTCCGCCGGGCACACGCCTCGAAGGCCTCCCGCCGCGCTGCGTGCCCTCGGGGTGCCTCGGGTGACCAGTGCCCCTGTGAACCTATAGGAGCAATGGCCTCCAACCTAATAGCGTCTTTGCTCCTAGTGGTACGGCCAGGAGCCCCTAGTAGCTTCTTGTTTCTAGTAGCAAAAGGAAAACGCATTGCGTTTTTCGATTCCATAGTCCTGATTTTCGATTCATGTATGGCCAAAACGCACGTGTTGAAAGACGAAAGGACTGCTACTTCTTTAGTTCTTGTTCATCGTTCAAATCCCGCAACAACTGGGGTGAGAAGAATGAGCAGCAATGACTTGCAGTAAAATCTTTTGAGATGCACTGATATTTTGGTTCCACTGTGAGTTGCTTTGGAGCCACAACGGCCCATGTGACTTCCAAGAAGGCACGCAAACTCTCCGGATCGTTCCCTGAGGCGATCTCCGGAAACCACGGAGATCGCCGAGTTTTGAACCCCCAAGAGCTTAGAATGACCATCAGTAACAAGAAGCTACTAGTAGGGGCATCGCTACGAACGGAGCGCTCGGACGCTACGAAAGGGGCGCTCCTGGCCGTACTACTAGGAGCAAGGACGCTACGAATGGGGCGCTCCTGGCCGTACTACTAGGAACAATAACGCCCATCAGTTGAACCCAAGTGATTGGAGAACATTCGCTTCGATAGACCCATCCCTCTTTCCGAGCGAAAAATGAATGACCTGCCTCGGGAGCACTGTGGGTGACCCGGGTGGGCCTGAACACTGCGAACCGGGTCAGGGAGTGCTACGCTGCTACCCATCAATCAACGCAAACAAGAACAACAAGAAGTAGCCACACCTGGCTACTTTTGCGCCTATTGAGCTTCCCCGAATTGTTCCCAATTCAGCCTCATTCATCCCTACTGGCACACCATTCCACGAAACGTCCACGAACGTCCCCGGGCTTCCACGAAGAAAACCCTTTCTGTGCACTACCCTTCCGTTTGCCTCTGACTTCACGCACCCAGTGGCAAAGAAGTTGGGGTTCTCTGCCCTGAGATCTTGCAGGTCTCGTTCACACAGCGCGGGGTTCAGCGATGACCTCAGCTTGACCAAAAGCGAACCATGCTGACCCTATCAGTGTAAAAGCAAACCTACAGTTAAGTGTGCCAATAGGCTTTACATGGCAAGAGGCTTGGACATTCCACATGCCTTTAGATATGAACCATATGAATCATATTGAGCAAATTTGGCTTACTACTGGCAACAAGGCACATAACTTTGCTTGGCCCTTGCTTCAACTTCTCCTAGGAAAGCCAATTGATGCCGAACAGTCACCATTGGGCACCCTCAAACGACCCATTCGACCCCTGAAGCAAACCGGACTCTCACATGTTCGATGCATGATCGAGTCATTACTAGTAACAATGTTCGCTACGAACGGGGCTCCTGGCCTTACTACTAGGAGCAAGGACGCTACGAACGGGGCTCCTGGCATCGCTACTAGTTACTAGTAGCATTCTTACTACTCGTTTTGAAGCAAGGGATGTGCAAAGTGATTTGCCTCTCAGGTGTTTGGAAGCGAGTGGCTCGTAGCGGTGGCTCCCATCGCCGCCCACCTTCCCAAACTTCACCATGTTGTCCTCACAGAAAGCAGTTGGACACATGCATCAGGCCGGGCAGGATATGCAAACACGTGACTTCGGGTCAGCTCAAACAGCAGCTTGGAGTTCCTGGTAATTGATAGGGATTGACCATCCCCCATTCTTCAAATCCGTGGTGGGTACACAACGAAAGGCATGCTGGTCTTCCGAGACCAGCCCACCAGTATGAAAGATCTCCGATTTCGGATGGTTCATCGTTCGCCATATTCCAGCCGAAAAGGGCCTTCAGAGAACGACCAATGTGGCAAGACGAGCAGCTTGGTACTTGGTACGTGATTCTCAGCGGTTGGCTGGTGGGCTCACGTGGGTCGATCTCAACAACAGGAGTGGATCGATAGACCATCGAAAAACACTTGGTGAATCCTGAGAGTTGACTTGTTGATGGACTGCAACCTAACAGCGATGGCCTCCAACCTACTAGCGATGCTCTGTTGAACACACCTGTACACCACCAGCGAAGGCCGGACAAAAACCGCTTCGACTGCTCCGAGGCTCCTGGAGGATCTGGTCGCGCCAAGGCTTCTGGAGGATCTGGTGATCCTCCAAATCCTGCGATGGTTTTAAAAAAGACAACACCAAATTCTGGTGATCCTCCAAACCACGGCTCCAAGGCCGCGCCGTATCTCTTTTTCCTGTTTTGGTTGCTCCGTTTCGCACTCTTTCCAAGCCACAAGACAACCTCCCTCCCTCCTCCCCCACTTGGATTTCTGGTTCAGTTCTTCCGTCTGATTCCATCCGCCGGAAGAAGTGTGCAAAGGGCTCCTTTTCAAGGTAAACGATGCACAACATCTCCCACATCGCAATTTTTGGGTATCTCTCTAGACCTTAACACCGACGGGTAGATCCGATGTAGTCATCCAGTGTGGAGTCTTCTGGTATCAAGGATACTTTCCTTTTCCTTTCCAGCCCGATGGATGAATGTTTTTGCCAGAGTCACTGCCAGAGTCCCTAGTGTCCACTCGAAAGTAGAACATCGTGTCCACTGTTACTAGGAACAAGGACACTACTAAGGACTCCTGGCATCGCTGCGAACGGAGAAAGGGGCCCTCCAAAAAGAGTTATAAACATCTACACCCAACCGTGCCCAGCCCATCCAACACAATGTTTCAAAGATCTCCTCCACTTCGCAGCACTCGGGGCCTGCTAGGACGCCATGGCACTCCTCCTCCGCCAACGCCAGTGCCAGCGCCGTGACGCCACTGAACGTGCCATGGAATTTCAACATGAAAGTCACAGGAAAAGAGAAGAACCAGGAGAATTGATGGTTCTTGATATAGTTCAACCTCCTAGTCAAATGAGCATCATGTGTTTTTCACAAAGTTCTTGATATAGGAACTACCTCATTGGCCTTGACAAACATCGGGGAGCAATCAAACAACACAGATCTTACAAAAGGCATATGCCAAGCCGGACAATCTGTGGTGCTGGCCAACAAAAAACAAGGAACAACTCTTGAGCCGAGGGCGTTGATGGTCATTGACATCTTAAATGATGATAGAATGATAGTCTAGAGAATCTTCGGATGTCTCTTATGCCTCTAGAGTGCTGAAACTCTCCAACGACCTGAGAGTGCGGTCAATCTTCCTGACTCGCAGCAATCCTCAAATGCTTCTTGTCTTTACCTCCTTTTTGTATATAATTAAGCACAAACAAATGACACAATCTTGGTTAAACTGAGCTTTTCGCTACATAATAACACCTCTTTGCCCTTAGGACGCACACCAAAACGAGAGGTCCAACTTCTATATCATTGAGTGTTCAGAGTTCTTCAACACCTCGAAACCACGGGTGACCTGTCCAAACCAAGGGATCCTTGTCTTGATACACTCTCTCATCTTGGGACTCACTGAAGGTTGTGGTTGGAACTCATGGACATCGGCAATTCTTGCCAGACAGCAGGCCTGCTGCCTAAAAGCAGGCCTGCTCCCAGACCTGGGCTATGAGCCTGCACCCCTTGCAAAGAGACTTAGGGCCCCCAAAAGGTGACAAAAGGCTTCATGTGGTTTTGCGCATGTTCGATCCGGGTCAGAACCCGAAGTAACTTGGGTTGCTTGGTTGCTCTGATGAGGATTTCCTTCAATTTGAGGGACAGTATATTAATTCTAATTAAATTAATTCTAATTTTAATAGCTTTTTTGTTACTACTAGTAAGGCACCTGTTACTACTAGCGATGCACTTGTTCCTGGGTGAGATCAGTCCGGAGAGACATGAGTTTTCCTCACTGGGCCGACAGTTCGGCACAACCGGACACTACCGGAGGTGCTAGCGCAGGCTCGTTGAGGTCGTTTTCAAGTTGCTTCTTATAGATGGACGGTGAATAGAAACTCTCGGCGGTTTCCTCTTTTGCTTGGCGTTGAAGCATTAGCAAAGCATGCTGAAGCATGTTGAAGCACAGCTGGACTTGCTGAAGACACGCTGATCATGTGAACATTGCACTGTGAACCAAGAGGCTTTGACCGAACAATCTCCTTGCCCATGGCAAGTGATCCTATCTACAACACTCAAAATTACCGCAAGTTAACGTTCCCGCCTGTGTCTACTGCACTTCATGTGAAGGAACGTAAAAAATTGCCGGTTGCCCGCATGAGGGTTTTTGAAGGCGATGCATTCCAATGCATTCTTCATGTACAGGAAAGTCTTCCACAATTGAACAAGTCTCGAATCCTTTCTTGAGTGGGATTGCAACAAACAAGGCCACCAGTCAACTCTGAACCAGACTTCTCAATGGTCCAACAGAAGGCCACCAAACCCACTATGTTCCACCAAACTTGGCTGCCAAGATCTGTCCAAAAGTGGAATTGGTGGTGAAAGAGAAACTGTCCTCGTCTCTCCGCCCTCGTCGTTGCGTCACTTCTGGCGGTCTCAGCAAGACTCTCTTTGGCTGTGGGATTCAATCACGCTGACGTCAAAGCGCCGGATTGCAAGCGACCATCTTCTCAGTGGCGGGTCAGTAGCCAAGTGATACAAGAGCTAGGAAGAAAACGAGGCACAAAGGAAGTTGGTTCCAAACACGGTATGTGTTCTTTTACCCACCCACCCACCCACCCACCCACCCACACGTGGCCGTATGGCAAAGCTATCAAAAAGACTTTGTAGGATACAGGCCAGGGTCTGCGTGTGTCTGCGTGCAGAGTGGGGTCTCACAAGCTGGTGTTGGAGACTATGTAGCATCTGACGCCAACAAACAACTGGAAGCTATGGCCTCCAACCTACTAGCTATGGCCTCCGGCCTGAAGCTATGGTCTCCAACCTACTAGCAATGGCCTCCAACCTACTAGCAATGGCCTCCAGCCTAGAAGCGATGGCCTCCAGCCTACTAGCGATGGCCTCCAGCCTACTAGCGATGGCCTAGAAGCGATGGCCTCCAGCCTAGAAGCGATGGCCTCCAGCCTACTAGCGATGGCCTCCAGCCTAGAAGCGATGGCCTCCAGCCTACTAGCGATGGCCTCCAGCCTACTAGCGATGGCCTCCAGCCTAGAAGCGATGGCCTCCACAGGAGATGATGTAGCGTATGACGCCAAAATTTATTATTCTAATAGCGTCCTTGCTCCTAGTAGTAAGGCCAGAAGCCCCTAGTAGCGTCCTTGTTCCTAGTAGCGATGCCCTTTGCTCCTAGTAGCGAACATTGTTCCAGATTTGCGTGTAACACATCGGCCCATTCAGCAGAACACACAGATCCTTTCAGACTTACAGTAGAGAACATAAAGGCTGATAGGAGCGTACTGCATCTGGGTAGAGCATCGATGCCCTCCGGCAGGTACTCCCTAGGGAAAACCAGCAATTGCAGAAGGTGAATACTGATTGTTTAGGCTGGCCAATTTCTGCCAAGATCTCCCAATACATGGCGCACACACTGTGTTGGAAACAAAATCAAAGGTCACACAGCTACAACCCTTGCTTGGGCCATGAACCCCCCAAAACACACTAAGTTTTGCGCAAATTTCAAATTGTTTTAAAAAGACGACCTGCTCCATCAACTGCTCCGAACATGGGGTGAGCTGCATTGTTTATGTGTCCGTCCTTCAATCCAGCCTCTTCTCGCCCGTCATGTGGCAATTTTTTACAAGGTCTGGCTTCAGTCAGGGAGCTGACCTCGATACGTCCGGTGCTGGAAGTAAGCGTTCGCCAAGCCTGAAGGCATCTCTTTTGGGGCTTCCCAGATCGAATTCGAGTGTTCACTCGGAAACAGGTACACTCCGACGAACACAGAAGTCCCATGCTTACGTGGAGTGATTTCACCCCCTGTTCGTAAAGGAAAGGTCGTCTTCCTTTCGGGACCATGCCATCCTCTTCCATGTTTTCTGTGTTCGTCAGAGTGTAAAATCAAGTTAGATTGTCATTGCACTGAATACTGATCATTGGATCACCCATGGGATCGGTCTCTGGACCACGGTATGCACCCCACGTATCCCCCCCTGTAGAGGTTGGATGGCGCCGCCTTCTAAGACTCATGGGACGGGGTTCTGAAGTGTTGCTCTGATTGTGCAAGTCATCTATCTTCTGAAAATGATGTGCCCTTTACTTAGAGATTGATTCCCAAATCCCGCAACAAGAACTTGAAACATGAACTAAGCATGGACTCATAGACCAGCGTCAACCCCTGTGTGTCCAATGACGACTTCAATCCCGGCAAGGTGTTTCACCAAGGGGCCGCAGCTGTCGCAAGATCTCTTGTTGACTGGCCAACCTTGCCAGTTGCAGCTGCGACCGTCAACGGCCAACGTCAAACCTCAAACAACATGATGTGCCTAAAATGTGACACGGGACATGTGGTAGGAAATCTCCGAGTGGTTTCACCGTTTCAAGAAAGGGACAGGTGGAGATTCTGAAACACCCCATGGTCGCTGGCAAAATGAACGCCTCACCCCAGTTTTGCTGGACCTTAATTGTTGGTACCACAAATTACCCCTGGTTGGCCGTCCATTGGTTGCTTTTCCCACTCCTTATGGAACATATTGCCGTAAACCATGAAATCTCTCCAACGGTCCAACTGTCCACCTGAAAACAAGTTGGGGGATTTGTCCAAAGAATGTTGATCTATAATATCGATGAGGCTGACAGCCAAGGTTGGTTTTCCAAACAAGACGAATGGATCTTTGTGGATTGAAAAGGGTGCGAACCCATTTTCGTTGCATCAAGTCGATCCGAAAGTAACAAGTGCCACGCTAGTAGTAACAGGTGCCTTACTAGTAGTAACAAGAAGCTACTAGGAACAAGTGCCTTACTAGTAGTAACAGGTGCCACGCTACTAGGAACAAGTGCCTTACTAGTAGTAAGACTCTCTGCACTGACCCATCGCCGTTGGATGCAAGAACCGAACAACATCATGGAAGCTCCGAACTTCCGATTTGGGATGTGTACATCTTCCTCCTCTGCTTGAGCGGTTCAACCATCCAATGGGACACATGCCCTTGTGCCATAAATTTGGCCAGTGACACATGCCGAGGCGATTGACTTCAGGATGTCCATGCATATCCCAATGATTCGAAGATATTCATACTACTTCATCTACCAACCCCTGGTCTGCCCAACTCCGCCGGGTCTGCCGGGTCTGGTTTCACCTCGGGTCCCCCCACGTGCTCCGCAGTTCGGTGTTCTCCCGCGTCGCTTGGAGCACCTGCTGCCTGGTGTGTGACGGTCCGGTTCTTCTGGTTCAGTGCTAGGTGGTGGATAGGTGGACAGCCACCTTTACAAACATGAAGAAACAATGATACTCTCCGACCTTTTGGCGGAACGTGTGATGACAGGCAACATTTCCAAGATTCACGGAAAGTCCGGAGAGCAAATAGATAGTGTTGACCAACCGGCTGGGCCAGATTAAGACTTCTTGTTCCTAGTAGTAGTGCCAGGAGCTACTAGTAGCTTCTTGCTACTAGTAGCGATGCCCTTTGTCACTAGTAGCTTCTTGTTCCTAGTAGTAAGACGGTCATGGAAGGCACAAAACGTTCCAACGTTCTAAGGCACATCTGCGGCCGATGCCAGCGTATGCCAGGTTTGGGGGCCCAGAAGACATCTCCCACCAGTTCTACGTTTGGCTTGTGGAATCTTCTGTGGGTCCTTACAACGCCTTAATTAGGTTTAGCTCTCTGTCCCACTCTTCTGGACCTTCTTCAAAACCTTTTTGATCCTTTTTTGGCAGACCTCTCTTCCTTTCTTCCGGTCCATTTCTCCCGCCATCTACCTCCACCCGGTCCGGCGTCTCCCGACCCGTCCGGCGTCTCGTCCTCCCGCCTCACCGCAGCGATGGTCTCTCGAAGGCTGCCCAGTTGAGCCTGCGACGTGCCGCCGCGTCGTTCGGACTCCAGCGTCGTTCGTGCTCAAAGGACCTCGGCCTTTTCAACGCATGGAACGTCCTGGCTTTCCATGGCTTTTGCTAGTTGGTTGGAGGCCATCTTTTTTGGGGACTCCCCTCAAGGACCTGATGTCGAAGTTCTTCCAAGGTCGGACTCGTTCCGCAAAGCCAAGATCCTGGTTCCGTGGAAATGCCCTTTTGCTACTAGTAGCGTCCGATCGCTCCTAGTAGTAAGGCCAGGAGCCCCTAGTAGCGTCCGATCGCTCCGTTCGCAGCGAGGCCCTTTGTTACTAGTTCCGTGCGGGGTCTGAGAAGAAGATGGGCCTTCGATTTCTTTGGCCCAAAGGGTCTGACTGAGTTTGGTGGCACTCGTGCAACAAACCATATCGAAGACCTACAATTCATCCCGTCCTCCTGGGCAGCTGTCAGCTCACGCTCCACCTGGACGAAATGAGAGACCAGCAAGCCCGTCAGACGGTCTCATAGTGCGGGTCTGTGCGTACAATCCTTCAAAACCCTAAAGGGCCAAGTCTTTGATTGATCTCCTTGCCACAACTTTGCCTTTCTGCAACACTCGCATGTCCAAGGCCCATATCTATACCAAATGACCCCCGCAAAGCATTAAGAAAACCAGGAGGACCAAAACAGCTAATATATTGGACAAGCTCACCTCCGGCTTTGCTTGGGCGATCTTTCAATCTAAACACAAAGAGGGATAAATCCCAGGTCAATTGATACCAACTGCCTCAGTGTCATTCAAAATGAACAGTTGTTGGCAAACACAGGAAGCAAAAATGCCATGTACTGGTAAATGACAAACACCAGAAAGTAACAGAGGATTTCTTGTGGGCTCCGTCAAGAAACGCTACAAAACTGTCAGGTGTGTGGCACAGAGAACCTGCTATCATCAAAGGACCAGCAGAATTTCCTTCACACCAGCAAAGGGAATCTGGTAGCTTACAAAAGGTCCCTTTACTCACTCTTCAAAATATCTTTCTTTTGGCAGATGCTTGACTTTCAATTGACTACCCAAACAAGGCAGGCCGCAATGAGATTTCACAGACATATTGAATGACAATTTGAATTTCCCAGGTACACAAAGTCTATGCGGCTATGCGGAGTTCTTTTCCAGCAAACAACGGAACCGCCCTGAAATGACGGGGGTGGACTAGACTACTGAGGCCGCTGGCGGGTCAAACCCGCCACGCGCGGAACGCGGGTTGGAGACGCCTCGCCTCGAGTCTTCTCCGCAAAAGCTGGAACTCCTTGCGACATCCGAGCAACAGGAGCAACTCAGCAGCTGGGATGAACTCGTCGATGTGAAGCTGGGAGGTCGTCAGCTGGTGAGATGTGGAATGGGCTTGTTGAGCAGTACATCACTGTGAAGCATGGCAAATCCTTCACAAATTCGCTGAGGAATTAGAAACAAAGAAAAAAAGAACAGGAAGAGAGGTCTAATAGAGTTTTTTGGACTTTCGAATCGACCCTATTTCACCACGCCGACTCTATTCGGGGACCTGCGGCCCTATAAGTGAAGTAGCTACCCAGCTTACCAAACGGAACGCTGCACGGAACGTCTTCTGACTTACATTTTCGTCCGCCGGCCCCCACAGCACCCAGCCCAAACAGCGGCCACCGCCGCCGCTAGTAGCTCCCGGCTTCTAGTAGCGGTGCCAGTTGCTACTAGTAGCGAAGCTAGGACCCCTTCGTTGGAGGCCATCGCCTCTTTTGTTTGGACCGTTTTGAGTCGACAGCCTTCGTAGACACCGATCTCCCCGCTCTGCGACTCTGCCCGTCCTCCTGCGTCTGCGACTCTGCCTGGCACGAACAACGTGACTTGCCTGGACCTCCGGCGCCTTCCTTTGGGTGGTGTTGGAACCTCTGACACCTTGTCCATCCTTTTCCACACTGGTGTTACTGTTTGGGCAATGCCGGTGGAGCTTTGTTCGAAGAGTTTCATCAAATCCGGTGTTCGCATGCCCCAAAATTCGGAACATCACTGGCGCCAAATGCTGACCCTGCGTGCTTTGCATCAAAGGCAAGGTCCGTCGCTCTGGAGATGACCCTCTTGGCAAAGCGGTCTGAGATCGGCAAATGACATGATGGCATTTGTCGAGTGAGTTAAACCGGAACGGCATGTTCAGACATCGCGTGTTAGACTCGAAGTGTCAGACTCGAAAGCAAAGCACTCATTACCATCTGATCTTGGAAACGAGAGGGCAAAATGACACCCCCCCAAAAAAAGCGAAAAAGACTTGGATGAACGAGCTTTTCGGCCCATGTCGCTGGTCACCGCGACATGGGCCGCTGTGGGTAGTTCTGCGGGCGAGCCAAACGCGCAGAGTTTGTGTGTCGGAATGGAGACGCTGAACGAGGCGCCCGCTTTTTCTGCCCGCTGAAGCGAACACTGGAGACCGATATGGAGTGAGTGCGGGGTTGGCTTAGGGCCCCTTCAAGTGCCAAATGAAATTCTTTCTTCAAATTACAATCAGTTGTAAATCCTTCAGCCTTTGAATGTGGATAGAACAGAGTCAAGGTTTTGACTCTGAGTTGCATGTTGCCTCTCAAGTCTTCAGGACAAAGAGAGCGCTGGCGCTCTCACACTGGCTAAAACCGTTGGTGACAAAACAATCACTTTTCACATGCCCACACATGGTCCTTCTTTCACCACTGGTTGATTCAGGTATTGCATCATTGTGTACCACCGTCAACACTAAGACTTTGTAAGATACCACTTTCGCACCAGAACTCCGATCCATTGCGCCTCCAGTTGAAACTAATCCCGACATCTGTTGTCACGCGCTGTGACACTTCTCACAGTTCGGGTTGAACAGAAACTGCTCGGAGCCGCCAGCTGACCTTCTCGTGCATCTGAGTGGAGCCTTCAACTACAAATCGCCGACACAGGGTATTGGTCCTGCTGGTGGAAGGAGAGGAACAATTGCACAATCTGCAAAGGAAAACAGCAACTGTTTCTTTGAACATGTCTGTGTTGAAAGGAGAGCACTAACTGCTGACAGCTGAAACAACTTGTGTGTCTTTGCCATTTATTCCCTCTCTTCCTTTCCCTTTCCCTTTCCCTTCCGTGCTCTTCCCTCCCTTTCTTCACTTTGATCTCTTCTCCAACAGAATCAAACACATGTTGCACCTTCCCACACCTTGTGGCAACCTACTCCTTGTGGCAACTGCAAGCACTTGTGGTCCCGTGTTCGGTCCTTTTGGGAGCTGGTCCCTTACGTTCGTTCGTTCGGTCCTTTGAACATGGCGAACAATGCCCCCCTCACAATGGGGGCATGGCCCACTCGTTTTCACTCTTCTACGAATTCTCGGGAACATCATGGAAGGGGAGGGACGCCACGCACATCAACACGTGAGAGGGCGATGTCGCAGCGGTTTGAGCAGCTTGCCGGGACTCCAGCAATTTGTCAACAAAAAACTCATTGGGATCTACTCAGCCTTTCGACCAAGAAACGCTGGCGGCTCAAAAAACTTGACAGGGGAACCTTGTGATACAGATTTCCAACTAGTAACAAGAAGCTACTAGGTGCAAAGGGCATCGCTACTAGGAACAAGAAGCTACGATCGTAACAATTGCATAGATTTCCTACAACATTATGATCCTCTTCGGCAACAACTTCGCTGGCACGGCACCCGATGAAACATCTTGGCCCGAACGGCCAGTGGCTTTGTACACACCAACATCTGGCAAAATAGGCCGCTGTTTCCGCCGTTGCCTTTGGGTACTTCCGTACTTGGTACTCGTTCAATTTCACATCAATATTCCTCTTTTCGTTGGTTGTCACCATCTCCTGACCTGTCTTCCCTGCTGCGATGATTCACATGCGCATGCTCTCAATCTCAGCGTGCACTTTTCCTGAATCTCTGTTTCTTGCACTCCATCTCACCCCTTCACGTGCTCACTGCAAAAAAATGAACCACATCGTCTGATTCTTCTTCTTGTCGCCAGCTGTGATGAACCCGTGTCGGCAGTGCAGGTGAGGGACCAAATCCGAAACGTCCAATGAACGATCTTCGATGACCTTCGATGACCTTCGAGGTGCATGTTTTTGAGATAACACTCCAACCTACTAGCGATGGCCTCCAACCTTTTGAGATTACACTCCCTCACTTCTTCCAAGATCCGTTGTAGCGTCTACTTCGTTTGAAGTGTGGGATGACTGGCAGTGGACCGACAAGAGACTCTGAAACGCAAATCTTTTGGTTGAATCGGTTGCCTCTCTTGTCAAGCCTTCGTGAAGCCCTTGCGTGTGTTTTCTTCTTTTTCTGGGCTCGTTCTTGCTTGCAACTCCCTGCCTCTCTGAGACTCTCTGCCTCTTTTGACAATCTGGTCCAATTGGCAAATTTTTTGAACAGCTCTTCAGCACGGCTCTTCTGCCAGGTGCACGGTGTACACCTCATCTTTGCGAGGCGTGGTCATTCGCGCCGTGCTGAAAAACTCACCTGGCGACACGAGGAAAACACGATAAGATCGGAAAAAGGGATTTAGGAGGATTTCTTAGGCCCGGCTTGGATTTCTTCCTGGTTGAAACTCATATTCATCAAGTTCAGTATGAATGTAGTTTCAATCATGATCAGGTACTGCCTTAGTGGACCACGATTCAGGTAGATTCGATGCCATTCCTGGTTCAGGCCGTGTAGATGTCAACTTAGGTGTCATGTTACCAAGCAGCCACGTATTTCTTTCGTGGAGACAGCATGACCAATGACAACACTTCGACACTGCTCTTCAGCAAACCTGCTTAAGTGCCTTACTAGTAGTTTAATTAGCTAGTAGAATTAAGTTAAATTAGAATTAAACTTAATTACTAATTCTTGTTACTACTAGTAAGGCACTTGTTCCTGGTAGCGATGCACTTGTTCCTAGTAGCTTATTAGCAAACCTGCTTCTGGATGGTTGTTGGAATGATTTTGGAGAAATACATTTCGAAGCACGTGTCACAAACAGGTACTGACAGCAACATGTATCACTCACAGTACAGCTCTTCCATGCAAATGAGATATGGATGCAGATAAGTGTAACAAATAAGGGTAACAGGACAGAGGACGTGAACCGCTCACGGCATCTCACCATTGTCTAGCAAAGTTTCCTATTTTGAGACAAGACAAAAGCGCAAACACGCATTACTAGTAACAAGAAGCTACTAGCGTGGAGGCCATCGCTACTAGGGTGGAGGCCATTACTACTAGTAGCTAGAAGCTACTATCATTCTCAAACACGGGATCTTCCACTTGGCCCTTGCCTGTCTCAGCCGTTCCGCCCATTTTCGACGCAATCGCAAAAAAGCACATCACAAAACCGCACCCCTGCCTGGGTATGATAACCCTTGGGAGATGATGTGGCCAGCGATGCAAAGGCCCAGAAAGCGTTTTGGAAGATCCAGGTGATTGAAACAGACTCAACAACCATGGGTGATGAGTTGTGATCAAGTTCTTCTAAAGGGAATGTCATCCAGCTCTGTTAAACTGTTAAGCGGTTTTTGTGTGGAACATGAGGTGCCCTAACGACCAAAGGTAGTTTACAATAGACTCAATAGATTGGGTCTATCGAATTACCAGCAACAGTCACAGTGTATAATAGTGATTTGCTTGTTTACCGACTGTTACAGGTAAGTTCGGACAGACCCACTAGATATGATATCCACCAGACACCAATCTCACGCTCGGTCCGCTCGGTCAGCTGGGTGGTCAAGCCGTCACGATTGCTGAGAGGCACTCCCTGAGTTGAGAATTGAAATGTGTGTTTCACGAGCTGCTGCCCAATGTGTTAGTGGTTGACCGATGACCAAAGGAAGCGGTGCTGTTTGTTGGTAACATGAGTCACCAACTTCTAAGAGCATCTGCGAGTTCTTGCATGCAGATTTGATAGCTTCTAGCATTATGAGTTCTAGTTCTAGCAGCGTCTGTTTTTGAATCAAGTGATCCTGCAGCCCCCCGCACACCCAAGAACGGTAAAGGAGTGCTGACCAAGTGGCCCCAAGAAGTGGCCCAAGTGGCCCTTGGGGTTTCGTAGTGTTTGTCAAAACTGAAACACATACAGTATTGCCGCCCAAAGTCATCAGATACCGAGTGTATACTATTCACATCTAGTCGCCATTCACAACATCAGGAACCTCCGTTCGTCTTGGACCTAATGTAAGTGCTTATCCAAAGGGTGAGGTCGTGATAGTCCGTGCTTTGTCTTTGCACTGGGCCTCTGCCAAGCAACACCGTCGCTGAGCTTCTGTACACCAGGTGAAACGGGTAAAACCGTGGGGAGGAGAGTCAGCGTGCTCAACAGTCTGTGACCTGTGAGCGGCTTTTTTACCTCTATGTGGTAAAGGACAAGGCTTGCGCTGGTTGTCCCACCCCAGCTCGGAGAGCCAGAACACAATGGAAAAACCTGTAGTACAGGACATGTCCACTAGAACGAATTTCTTCTCTACGTGGTTGTCATTTTCCCTTTTTTTTCGCAGGTTCACTGGGTGCTCCTACATTTTGTGGTCCCTATGAGTGCAGTCGTTCGGTTGTTGAGGTCAGCTGAGGTTCTTAAGATTGATGCATCCATGCATTCGATGGCCCATTGGTCGGTTCTTCTCATAGCACACGCACACACCATCCCACACCTACATCTCCCACGTCCATCAAAGAAGCCCGACTTCCGCTGAAACCAAGCGCCCTCAGGTCGTTCGCTGTCTCTCCGCAGCCCGAAACCCGCAGGTTGTACTTTCACCCGCGTGCTTCTCAGCGGGTGATGCCGCAGAGCCGGTCGCATTGGTCGAAGAGCTCGCGCTGCTTCTCCGCGTCCATGGCCAGGTCTT